GGGCTGCAGCTGGTCTCCGCTGCCTGGGCTCTGCAGTGCACGGGGTCACTCTCTGGCTGGAGCTGGGGCTCCCCCCAGGAGAGGCACTTTCGCTGCGCGCATGAGATTGCAAAGCGCTCTCTGGAACGAGTGAGCAAAAAACAGACGGTTCCGTTTCCGTTAAGAGTTCTGATGCAGCAGGAAATTGACAGCGAGCCCCCCCCCCGCTACACAGCAGAGTTCTGTGTTCTGGGCTCAGTGGGCCGTGACGGTTCGGTTTCTTGTGCGTTCTGGTTGCCTGCAGCTCGCGCGGTGTCTGCTCGGGGAATAATGGAGGAGGCCAGCGGTGGTCGATTAAAAAAAACAAACCAACCACAACGAGTCCTGGCGCCACACGGCGGAGGCAGGGTTGAAAGACGGAGGGGCGCAGGAAGGGTTAAGCCTGTCACAGATGTTGGGGTACCCGCCGAAGTGAATCCGTTGCATGAGATGAGCAGCCGGGCCCGTGAACGTCTGGGTGCTGTTTGTGTTTCAACCTGGGTGGGGGGGTACAGATGTCGCACGATGTTATGACCTGTGACCTAGGGAATGTCGCGCCGTGCGACCTTTGACCCGAGGGATCAGGCCGGCCGTGCGCGAACAGTGCCTCTCTGGGAATGCGGGATCGCCGGGGAGCTGCGCAGAGAGAGGGACGGGGAGGAGAGGGCGTTCGTATCTGCCCAGCCGAACCCCCGAACTCCGCAGGCAGGTGGGATGCACGATCTGCCTATTCCTCCGTTCAGACTGGGGATGTTAATTGGTTATTAAGCTAATTAACAGATCCTTCACAAGAAGAGCTGTCCATGGGCTTGTTATAAGGAGCTGGGACACGCTCCAAATCGGTCTGTCACTCGGATAGCTTCCCTGGGTTGTATTAAAGTCCCTGACCCCTGTGGCTCCTGATATTATATGGATGGTACCTTTGATGGCCGAATTAAAAATTCCCAACGTTTTTTTCCCGACATCCGGGCTTTTTTCCCGTCCGGATCCGTGAGCGCGGATCTGCCCGGGTCGGGCGCTGCGGGGACCGGCAAGCCGGTTTCCGCAGAATCGATTTTTTTTTCCCCCCGCGGGAAGGAGGAGGGGCCAGCGCCACCTGAAAAGCAGGCCCGTTTCTCTCTTCCGTTTAGGAGCCGATCGGTCGATCAACGCGAGTGATCGCAGCTGCCTGTCGTTTTGGGCCGATCAATCACTTCAGTCCGGGGCGTCGGGGTCGTTTTCTGTTCCCTCTTGCCAGAGCACTCCAGGGTAGTAACTGCACTCCTTTTTCATTCAGCTCTTCTGTGGCACCACAAAAGAGCAAAAGCGGTGTTTTACAGCAGGGTGTGAACAGCCGGTTTCTGGCTTTTCTGTGCGGAACGGAAAATCGCTAAGAAAGCTGTCATTTTGTTGAGCGCAGTCTGTGTCCTTGTAGGGATGCAGGGAAACAGGTTGAAAATAGAGGAGGGAGGAGAGGTGATATTTTGAAGAAGCGT